GCCCCGCACATCAAGGTTTTAAGATCAGCTGGTCAGAATGTGCCAGACCTCACAAACTGTGGCCTCGATCGTGTGGCAGATCCCCCTGTCCCCCTCCAGTCCCCACAGCGATACAGACACTGGCCCTTGTCTGGACTGCTCTCTTGACCTCCTGACCTGTCTGCCTGTGAGCTCTTCCAGAGTCATCTCCAGGCTGTGCTCACGGTGCGTCTTAGGAATGCAGATCTATGCCTTGGTTTTAGGATATAAGACCCAAACCCTCCTGCCTCTCCTGCCACCCTCTCTCACCTGCTCCCCTGATCCCAGCCTTTTCTTGGCCTCGTTTCTGGTTATGTGCCCTTTATACACACTCAGGGCACGTCCACCTGCCTCAGTCAGTGCTCCTTCCTTTGGATCTGAGCTGCCTCATCCTTGAAAGCTTCCCCGACCCCAAGGTTGGTTCTCATGGCCCTTTCTGCCTCTTTCAGGAGTGCTCATCCCTATGGTGATGTCCTTCCTACTCAATTGCGAGCTCATGGCAGTAGGGACTGGCCCAAGTCTTGCTCACTCTGATCCCGGGCTCCACACCCAGTGCCTGGTGTGCGAGAGCAGGTTGGTAGGTGTTGGAGAGGAGGGAGCCATCCATCAGGGGTCCGGCCACTGCCGTGGCCTCCCAGCCTCCCTCTGCAGTGGACGCTCTCCCACATTGAGACCTCTACCTCTGAAACACAACTCCTATCACCTCACCTCCTTGTGCCAGAACTTCCCGAGAGTCCCCATTTCCTGCAGCATGCAATCCACACCCCTTTTCCAGCCCTCCACAACCTGGGTCCGGGCTGCATTTCCAAACTCACTTTTCCTAGTGGCCTCAGTCCTTGCGCTGCCGCTGGAAGGAGGCACCTGAGGCCCCTTCTGCCCCCAGGGTCCCCTCAGCCCATCTCTGCACATCGTAACCATCCCGTAAGTAATACCTCTGGCTAAAAGCATGCCTTCCATTGTCTGGACTCTGAGCACCTTTGACGTGGTACTGTTTCTATCTCTGTTATCGCTATTTTAGGTACATAGCTCCCGTTTGTAGTCCTATATAGTGTTTAGCATGAACCTCACATAGTAGGTAATCATCAGATACCTTAAATGAGTGGGAAATATGAATTATTTAGCATCTTTATAAGCCAGTCTTTACTAGGAACCATTTCCCTTCTGGATGCTGTAATTTGTAATGAAAAGTTTCTGTTTTTACATCTATAACAAATGGCCCGTCAGCTCTAGATCTCCCGTTCTTTTAAGTATATCTACAGATTAGGGCGCCTGGGTGGCTCAGTCGGTTAAGCGACTGACTCCTGATTTCGGCTCAGGTTGTGATCTTAGGGTCGTGGGACAGAGCCCCACGTCAGGCTCTGCGCTCATCACGGAGTCTGCTTGAGATTCTCTCCCTCTCCCTCTCCCCCTCCCTCCACTCTCCTCTCTCTCTCAAATAAATAAATAATCTTTAAATATATCTACAGATTAGTGACTATGAACCCCATTCATATACTGCTTTCTGCACACATTGCAGAGGCCTCACGGATCTTTTCTAACAAGGGTACAGTATTATTCTATACTGAACACAAGAAAGCAAACTGAAGTAGGTGTGCATCACATTGCCATTGTTCAAGGGGAGACTGCTGGAGTTAGCGTGCTCTTCAGAAAGTGACCAGTGGGCCATGGATCTTGTTTCTGGATGAGCATCACCTCACCGCCTCCTCGAGCCACGCCTGCCCTCCCCTCAGCCTGAGCGGTCGGACGTCCTAGCCTGCCGCTCACCGGTCGGTCGCTGCCATGACTCCGGCCACAAGAGGATAACCCCCACCTCCGTTTCCTTCCCAACAGGCCGACCTAAACTGCAGTATTCAGGACGATGCCGGGGCTTTTTACGGTGTAACCAGTCAGTATGAAAGTTCTGAAAATATGACAGTCACCTGTTCCACCAAAGTATGCTCATTTGGGAAGCAAGTAGTAGAAAAAGTAGAGGTAAGTAGGCCTCTGTCCCCCGAAGTCCTCATTCAGGGGCAGACTGTCGCCTTCCTTTCGACTTTATATGGGGGCGGAGAGTTTTACCTTTTTGGCATCTCCTCCTCTCCCTTTCTCCCACCGCTTTCCCCTGTTACTTTTGAGACGACAGAACGGTCTGAAAGCGACTGGAAGAAGGCAGGGAGGAAGCCCCATGCCAGGCTTCCCTGACTGGTCTCCCTGCCTTGTGCGGCCAGCAGCGTTCAGTCTGGCCCGAGGTGTCATGGGGTGCCCGCTGTGGAAGCGGGTACACACAGACCCTGCCACCCACCGGATGGTGCCCTCCCCACCCCCAGGTCCAAGAGCACTTGCAGGCGTTGTAGAGAACAGCCGAGGTGGGATTCAGCTGATTGGCACCTGCCTTCTGTAAAACCTGACACCTCAAATGGTGGTGGTACTTTTGCCATTTCCACTCCTTTAATCCTTTTAAACAGATGACAGCACATACTGGGGTCAAATACCTATACATAGTTTTTATATTTCATGGCCTCCCTCCCTGTCAAAAAACGCATGTTCTTTTTACCAGGGTGGGTTGCTTGGTGTGAATAATGTTTTGCAGTTAACTTTCCATGTAAGTTGAATTTTCCAGTGTCTTCTGCCCATCCTCTAGTCAATCTGTGTTCAGTGAGCAGCTCTGGTTCACGGTGGTCCTGGAGCTTGCAGGTCCCAGAGCCTAGCCTGAGTGTGGCAGACTTGGTGCCGCAGCGAGAGAGAGAGAGAGAGAGAGAGAGAAGAGAGGAGGGGCTGGGGAGGAGGGCGGGAGCGAGTGTGTGGATTTTAAGACTTGGGGCTGAACAGTGAGGCCCTGGGGTGCTGGAGGCCCTTGTAGCTTCCTGAGCACAGGCTGGGCCTCCCGAGAATGGTGTTGAGGAGGTGATGCTAGCCAGAGAGGACAGAAGAGGGTGGACTAGATGGTCGACAGGAGCTTAGGCATCCTGAGCTTCACTGAAACGGTAGCAGGGGGCATCCAGTAAGACATTTTGAATGGAACTTAGAAACTCACTGGATATTAAAAACCCATGAGGAGGAAGAGTCAGAGGTCACACGTTTTGTGTTTGCAAGGACAGTGCTGCCACCAACAGAGAAAAGGAAGGAAGGTGCTCAAGAGCACACAGTCAGGGGATGATTCTGGATGCAAGACGAGAATTTGGAGGACGGGTAAAGACTGAGACTACCGATCAGGAATCCTCAACATTAAGGATCATTAAAGCTATGGGAATGGAGAACTAGGTGCAGAGAGAGAGTAGCAACAGCACAGGAATAAGGGTTTAAATTTGGGAAGCAGTACACAGCCCTGGGATGAGTAGAAGGGAGACACCAGCAGAGGACAAAAATGGATGTGAGAGGAGGGGAGCCGGCTCAACGCATGTCTGGGAAGCCCAAGGAGAGGGTAGGTGAGAAGGTGGCCTTGTTACGAGATGGGCCTGGGAGGCCTACAGCCCAGATCACCTCCCAAATTCTCGGAGAAGGAGGGAGCACAGTTACCTGTCAGTGGTTGGGAATGTGGAATGTTCCTGGTAGGCATGGCTGCTGAGTAGCCACATTGTCAGGGCTCACCAGAGCTGGACCTCCTGCCTGGATGAGACGAACCGGGCAAGTTACTCAGTTTCCCAGATTCCAAACTCTTTTTTTCGTCATGTCCTCTAGTAACACACCAAAACAGTTTCCCAGATTCCAAACTCTTTTTTTCGTCATGTCCTCCAGTAACATGCCAAAAGCCTTCTGTAAGTTCAAGGAGCGGGAAAAGGTTGCCTTTGATTGATGAAGTCCCAGGAATTTTCATGGATAAGGTAGTGTGAGTGTGGCAGGTGGAGTTTTATAATTAAGTTTTTAATTCACTTAGAATGTACTACTTCTGCATTTGGTGTGAATTGGGAGTCCGCTCCTGTTTTCTTCCAGATACACAGGCGTTTGTGTCAAAACCATTTATTAAATGATTCATCCTTTTCCCACTGAGTAGATCTGAGATCTGTCTCCTTTCAGTTACTGCATATTCTGGGAGCCATTCCTGGAGTCTCTCTGATTCCCCCCTCTGTTTATCTTGACATGTCCCAATCCCATGTTGATTTGATTACAGTGGCTTTTATAGCACATTCTTACTTCTGCTGACGCAAGTCAATCTGGCTGTTGTTTTCCATATATTTTCTAGGCTAGTAAACAGCATTTATTCTTCCAAAAAAGGAGATAACTTAAAAAAAAATAAAGAAAACCAAAATCCTCGCTTGATCAATCTAGTTGGAATTGTACTAGATTTAGACATTATTTTGAGATAAATCGATACATTACCAATACTAAATCTTTCCAACTGAGAACCTGTTTGCATTTCCATCTTAATAAGATTTTGTAGTTTTCACATACAGGTTTATCCCTTTTTTGTTAAATATACTTCTAAATATTATGTAATTCGTTAATGCAATTTCCCATTTCTAGATTTTAATTACTAGAAGAGAGGAAAGCTCTTGGGTTTTGCTTATATTTGTTTTATCTGGCCAACTTGCCACATTCTCTTATTTATCTCCAGTGGCTTTTTCCCCTAGATTCTTAGATTTTTTTATGTATATGGTTTTATAGTACCAGCAAAAAGAGAAGGCTTTATTTTATCTCTTCTTTTCCAATGTTTTTGCCACCTTTTCTATTTTGGTTATTTTCTCACCTCTTTCCATTTGCTAAAACCTCCAACACTGTCATGAAAAAAAGTAGGAGAATGAGTAGTAACTGCTGCCCATAGAGTTGGCTTTGGAGTTTCGCCATTTCGGGTTATATATACTTACTGTTGGATTTTATAAATGGTCTTTATTTTATATTTAAGTGCTTTCTTTCTATTCCCATTGTACCTAGGGTTTTTGTTAGTAACAGCTCCGATATTTTATCAAATGCCTTTTCAGCATCTCTTAGTATGATTTTTCTCCCAGTTCGTGGGCATCACGAGTTCATTCCTGAAGAAAGTCCTGCTTTGGACAAAGTGATGTATTCTCTTCGCTATTCTACGTAAGATTTTTGCATCTCCTAAGTGATATTAGTCTGTTCCTTTCTCTAATCTCTTTATGTCCATCAATTTCATAAAAAGAATTGAGACACCTACCTTTTCCTATGGTCTGGCGTCGTTTGCGTAACAGTGAGAGTAATTATTCTTCTAGAGTTGCATAAAACTCAGCAATGAAACAATTTGGTCTTTGTACCTTTTTTGTGGTGAGTCTCTGAAAAATTTTTTGGTCATTTCTGCTGTAATGGACCTACTAGAGTTTTCTCCTTCATGGTCAGTATTAGTAATTCATACTTTGCTGGGAAATCATCTTCTCCTCTAGGCTTTTTTGCCTTAGAGTTATGTGAAGTAACCTTTTACAGATCTTCCAATCTCTACTGTAATTGTGGTTTTGTCTCTTTTCTCTCTTAAGCTTGTGAAGGCTTGATTTTGTTTTGACTTTTTAAAGAACCAGTTTTTTAATTTATTCTGCCCACATATTTTATTTCTCTTAACATCGATTTGAGCTTTTATCTTTATTAATTTCCTATTCCTGGTTTCCTTTGGTTTCTTTGTGACTTGGGTTTATTTTGGGGAGGGGGGGTTGTTTTAAATTTCAGACATGGTTTAGTTCTGTAATTTTTTACCTTTAATGATGAACTCATGAAGCTGCATCATTAAGTTTCCTCCAAGTACAGTTCCATCAGGTCGCCTAAGTTTTGATGTCAAGTATTTTCCTTTTCATTACTCTTGAGATAGTTTGTAATTTCCTTTTTAATTCTTCTTTGATCCAGGGCTATCTAGGGGTGTTTCTTATTTCTGAGTGCTTCAGTCGGATCTTCAATACGAGTATTTTCTTTCTTTTCCTTGTTTATTAAAGACATAAATAACTCACAGTCAGGAGCTCGTGATCAGTGTGAAGTCGTTTTTCCTGAGGTAGAGAAATTAACTGCATTGGTCGTTGGCCTGTGAGACCTTTATAATGGTGGAGGAGGATTTTCTCTGGGCTCTTTGAAGAATTGTAATTGGCTGGGCCTTGCTCCCCCAGATTTCCAGGCAGAAAATCACTAAGTAGGTGATTATATTTCTTTCTGACCTTTTCTTTCTTTTCTTTCTGACCTAGACAACCCTCTTTAAAGCTATCCTGTTTCCACTCTTTTTTTTTTAGGTTTCCAGAAAAATAATGGATTTCTGAGTATGCCGTTAAGTTTGGAGATAGGATTTCTTTTAAATTAAGTAAACTATGTAAATAGTACAGCATCTACACTCCTGTTGAAAAAGGAAAAATGCTTTTGCAGACAGCAATAGCTTTTTCATGTATTTTGGAATCAGAAGTGTAAACGTGCTCAATTCCTTTTTCCCTCACAGACGGAGTATGCAAGGTTCGAGAACGGCCGATTTGTGTACCGAATAAACCGCTCCCCGATGTGTGAATATATGATAAACTTCATCCACAAGCTCAAACACTTACCAGAGAAATATATGATGAACAGTGTTTTGGAAAACTTCACAATTTTATTGGTAACTGTTTTTGCCTCTTCTTGTGGCAGACGCAGTCTGAGGCTGGAGGGGAAGGGGACAGGAAGGTGGCGGGGTAGGGGTGCTGAGCAGGCTGTCAGTCGGTCACCATTTGAATCCACAGCGCCCAGGGCAAGCTTGGGCTCTATTTGGGCTCAAGTCTGTAGAAGAGACAGGCTCTCATCTTGCGGGACTAAGCTTTTCTAAGCTCGGGAAAACTGGAATTCAAGTGGGTAAATTCAGCTGCGTGTTAGAAAGGCATGGAGAACTTTCAAAATACTTAAGAACTTTTGAAAGCCTGACACCAAGGCTGCAGTCCTAGATCAACGAGATCAGGGACTCTGAGGATAGAAGCCAGGCACGTATGTTTGAATTTCCCTATGTCGTTCCAGTGTCGGCCACGCCTGGGTCCCAGCAACAGAGTCTGCAAATCACAGATGAGGCACAGACTGAGTCAGTGGGTTCACACTTCATAAACCTTGACTCATTTCACGAAGGACTGCCAGGCCTTATAAGAAGTAACGCACATTAAGATAGTAAAATACAAACCCTCAGCACCACGAGAAATAGAAATTAAAATAGAATGTCATGATCAGGAAATACCCTTCATAGGCTGAAGTATGGTCAAAACTTGGACAGCTGAAGGGAAAGTATAAGCAGTGGTTGGTGCTCAGGGTCCACGATGGGAGAAGTTTCCGGTTCCCCTGGGCAATGCTGCGGAGTGGGGGACGGTCCCCTCATACTTAACTTTAAAACAAATTTCTCATGGGGGCTTCATTTGGAGACTTGGGAAGGTCATAAGAACAGTGATGTCTTCAAAAATCTGCCTATAAAATATGCAGTAATGGGTTTCATAAGGCTCATTTTTGAAAAAAATTAACATTCCTTGATTTAACCGAAGGAAAAATGCCAAAACAAAACTTAGAAACAGTTTTGCTAAAAGGGGCACAAGACAGTATCATGGTCAAATATTCAGCCCTCTGAAGCCTTGCTTTGTTATTCTGTTACTAGGACTAAGAACTAGAATACTTAGAGCAGAAGTTCTTTACCCAGAGGTTTTAGATCCATTGAGACTAGAGTTCACCATCAGTGGTGTGCTACTTAAAAAAAAAAAAGGCTATCCCCCAACATCCCCACAAAACCCTGATTTATTAGCGTTCGCCCACTTCCATGGTATAAATACACCCTCCGTGGTCAATTTCAAGGTACCAGTGGGTTGTCCAGCTCATGAAATTCCTTCATTTTTAACTTTCAAGAGCCCTTGGGAGCCAGTTTTCTCACAAAAGTATAAAAACTGAATAAATAAAACTTTAAAACTTAAAATCCTTTCTGCATATCAGATTCACCCAGGAAGCTTTTAAAAATTCTGGGGCCTGGGCCCCAGCTGAAAGAGGTAAAATCAGAATCCTAGGGGGTGGGGCCCACCCAGCATCATGGTTTTTGTCTTATTTTTACAGCTCCCCGGGTAGTGGAGGCCCACTGCCACAGGGGACGGCTAAATGAGCTGCAGGGAGTCTCAGGAGTTCACAGACATGTGATGGGCATACAGTTGTCCGAAAGATAATCTTGCACGTAATTTTCATTTATTCCTGAGAGAGAATCTCAGTGGATTCTCTGGCCTGTCCATGAGAAACTAGCCATCTGGGGGAAACTTTGGAAAACCTGTTCTTTGCTAACTATTATTGATTAATGTCTTGTTCTGTAATGGTCGTTAGTGAAAATTGAGCAGTTCACGGTTTGGGGCACTGGCGGGTACCTGACCTACAGCTGCTTTCTGTTGCTAGTTAGGAACAGGTGGCTCTCATGCTCAGATGGGCGGAGGGTGAGTGGATCGTACCTGGGTGTGGACAGTTAATAGCCTTGGGAATGAACCCAAACTCTCTGAGTGAATGGCCAGCCCACCTCTCGTGGAAGCAGTCTTAGCTGTCCTTACAAACCAGTTCTGAGTCTGTTTCAGCACCTTAAGGACTATGCCCTCAGTCCCTAACCCTACCTCACAGAGCATAGCCACGGAAAAGAAGGCCTGGAAGAAATTCAAAGCGTCTCTTTAGCCACAAAACCCATGAAATGAAATCAGTAGTGCTCTTTCAGAACATGTGACTTCAAGCAGCTTAGATGTCCAGAGAGCATTAATTCCAAAATGTATCATTAAGCAACCAGAGAAATTCCTTTGCTATGAAGAATTAGTGGCTGTCAATAAGTATCGGCTGGAAATAATATTTTAGCTTTTAGAAAAGCTGAAATTAAACCAGCACTCCTGGATTATGAGAATGAAATCGTCTCGTTGATAAAGGAGAAATAGTACTTTTCAGCTCTTCCTCAGGGGCAGGGTGTGCGAACACGGTTGGAATGGCAGCTGCTGGACGTAGTTGCAGGCATTTTACTAGGGATTGGATTACAAAGCCTGTGTCAGCAAGATCACTTCCAGACCTTACTGGTCGGTGAGCTAAACTCTGATTTCATCAGGATGATACAGAAGTTGAGGTGAACCTGTAAATGCAGGGCCTTAGTAACAGTATCCAGACAGGCCGAGGGGGAGTCGCTGAATTACAGGCCAAGTATTCCTGTCCTCTTTGGAGGTTGCATTCAGACATACATACAGGCTACTAGAAACATTTTTTTTTCTTTTCTCCTTTTGAATCTTACTCATGAAGTCTAGGACATACTTAGGGCACCTGGCTGCCTTAGTCGCTAGAGCAGGCGACTCTTGATCTCAGGGTCGTGAATTCAAGCCCCATGTTGGGCCTGGAGCCTAAAAGGGAAGAAGATAAATAGGACATATTCTTTCCTAGAAAGCTTACAAGAAAATAAGGTAAATCATAGAGGTTCCAGGCACAGTGCTAAATCTTTAGTAAATGTGATATTATGAAATTCTCACTGCAGAAGTGTGAGGTCATATTTATTCCCATTTTACGGATAAGGAATATTAGACCTCCCTGAGGTCACAGAGCTAGGGACAGAAATAAATGAAGACTTAAAAGGATAGGAAAGACACTTCGCAGGATATTTCATGATCATGGAATCAGAAGACTGGGGTTTAAGACCCAACTCTGCTTTATGACCTTGGTTTGGGTAAGTCACTTAAAGTCTCTAAACTCAGTTTCCTCCTCCATTTACAAACAAAACGCTCAGGTCTTGACGCTCCACCTCAAAGGTTATTGAGAATATTTGCGTTCATTCAGCTAAACTATGGAGAGATTATAGTCGCTGCCAGAGTAAATGCAGATAAAACACATTGCCTATCCCATAGCAAATCTTGGCCTGCTCGGGGGAAAGAGGCAGGTGAAGAAATGGTTACAATACATTTGTAAGATGCATGGCTGTGGTATCCTTGAGAAACAGACACCTGGACATCCAGGGTAGTTGAACTACCTGAGCAGGTACCTGTAAGTTGGATTGAGGTGGGGGCATCCTCAGGCATGTTCAAAGCTGACGTTTAAGTTGCCTTGATAGATAAACAGACATTTTTCAGATTTACCAAGAAGAGGGCCCTTCCACGGGTGTGTACTTAAGTGTCAGGTGCTGGGATGTGAACTAGATGGGGGTGGGGGGCAGCCATCCTGGAGGCTCCTGAGGGAGGCAGGCGTTCCTCAAGCAATCACAAAAAGAAACGGTGGCTGGTGGCTGGCAGAGGGCGGTACATGGTGCCACGAGAGCATGTCCCAGGAGTATCTGAGCCAAGGAGGGAGGTCAGAGAAGGCTTCTCTAAGGAAGAAACAGTGGAGGCATCCCTGCCAGATGACTGGGCGGGGAGGGCAGAGAAAAGTACCGCAGGTGGGTGGGCAGGTGGGAGGACTGGAAATAGGGTGGTGTGGCTGGCATGGAGAGAGAGAGAGAGAGAGGAGGGCAAGGAGCGGGTAGCTGGCTGTAGGAGCAGCCAGACGGGGTCAGGGCTCCTGGGCCTTGCAGGCTTGAGAGTTAGGAAGTTGAATACAGGCCATCAGGGTTTTTAAGCAAGAGGGCGTTGTTGTCAGAGTTGTGGTGCTCACAGGGTTGTTGCGGCCGCTACGTACCGACGGGAGCAGGATGAGACAGGGCGGCTTGTGGTGGGGGAGTCGGGGGCTTCGCTGGTACCCTGGGCTGTGGCGGTGGAGGAGGGGATGGATTCCAGAACTGCCGGAGGTAGAAGCAGCATGACAGGGCATTTCTTTGCATATGGGGAGAGAGGGAGAGAGATTTCCGGGACGGAAGGCCGGCATGCTTGGAGTCTTCGATCTGTGAGGGAAGGGGCAGGAATTAAGACTAGGAAGGAAAGCAGGTGGGTACCAGTGTTCAATCAAATCTTTATGACCCAGGAAAAAAATGTAGATAATCTATTACTATATCCATTCATTTGTCTGGAGCCGCATGGCTTCATGGGTAGGAAAAACGGTCTTTGAAGTCAGATCTGCATTTCTCCGTTGTATAACCTTCAGTCCACTCCCCGGCCTCCCTCTCTGTCAGAGGGCAGCTAACAGGACACCCGCTCACGGAGTTGCTGTGATGTTACACCAGACGGTGTATGTGAAGCAGTTCATACTGAGTAGATGCAGGCTATATGTGGTCACTTACATGTTGGCTGTTATGTCCCTTGTCCTTCATTCGGCACATACTTATTAAACAACTGTTGTGTGTCAGGCTAGTTACTAGGAAACGTGGTCCCCCTTCTTCAGGAACTTACAACCCACTGACTGACATGGGCATTAAAGAAAAAAATCACACAAATCTAAGTGTAGTTACAGGCGTACTGTGTGCCCTGATGGGAAAATTATAAGTGTGTGAGTTTTTATTCTTCAGTCAGGGACCACACCCTCCGATGCCTTGAGGGTAAGGGAAACACAATGGGTGAGACAGCCGACAGAGTCGGGAGCAGGCCCCACCCCGCCCGAGGTGCAGGACTAAGCCCTCAGATTCACAGTGTTTGAAGACACTGAGCTGTCTTCAAACAAAACACACACGTAACAGCATCACCGAAGCTGTTGGGAAGTTGGGCTAGATTTGTTTTTAGAAAGTTCCTTTTGAGAACGGCTCTGGGAAGCAGGCGGGGTCCAGTGGAGACCTGGGTCAGATCTGGTCGCTCAAGATAAGAATGTAGGCTAAGGCCACAGGCACGAGGAGGAGAGAGCTGGAGTCCAGTGACTTGAACCAAGAGGGGAAGCAGATGAATGTTTCAGAGTACATTTCGAAAGGTAAAGCCTGTGTAAATGGAAAGAGGGATCATTTGACATGATTCTACTACTCAGCGTCCATGTTACTGAGCCCCAGCCCGGCTGGTTAACAATGCTGAGCTGTATTCATGGGGCTCCCGTCTCTCGTGGGCTGTTGTGAAACAAATCTAGGAAAAAGTTTAGGAATAAGACAGGAAGCAATTCCTAGGATAAACAACTGTCTCGTGAGACAGAATTCTAGAAAATGGTCTTCGTTGTAAAGAAATCGACCCTCCCAAAAAACCCACACTAATTCTTGTGGCCTCGCATTATGGGTGAGACCCTGTCCATGAGGTATTTCTTACACATGGTAACTAAGTTCAGCTAGGATTCAGGTCAGACCCATAATTATCCTGAGTTTGTGCTGGAGGGGGGCAGCGTGAGGCTGGGACGTCTGTGGTAGTCTCTCTGCTGGACTTGAGCCTGTCCTTCTCCAAGCAACTCCTAGTTGCCATAGCACAGATGGACTGTGTTTTCATCCGCGTGGTGTTCTCTCTCTCTCTGTGTATGTGTGTATATATATATATACTTTTTTTTTTTTTAACAGGTGGTAACAAACAGGGATACACAAGAAACTCTCCTCTGCATGGCCTGTGTATTTGAAGTTTCAAATAGTGAACATGGAGCACAACATCATATTTACAGGCTTGTAAAGGACTGAACATGGTTATTTATATATAGATATCTGTATATACACACACACACACACCCATGTGCGCACACACACACTCTCTCCATTATTGAATGACTGACTGTAAACCTCGCCACAGAGGGGTGTGCCCTGGCCCTGAGGACACCCTGACTTTTTCTAAATCCTGTTTGAGTGAAGTCATTATTTTTTTCATGTGTTCATACTATCATTATAGCTGTGAAGTTCTGGTACAGTTGTAAAAAGAGAAATCTGAGTGGTTTCTATGTGTTCTTCACATCCGCAGCCCACAATTCCTCGGGAAAAGGTGACCCTTAAGAACCTGGGTCTCCTCTGTCTGCAGAGACCCGTTTCTAATTGTGGTAGGAAAAAAAAATTTTGAAACAGAGCATTTGCCATGGGGCATTTACAGCCTTTATACAAATGTATTTAGTTCTGTTTTTTTTTTTTCCCCAACGTAAAATTCTTGTCTTAAGATACAAGTAAAATTAATCTTTAAATGTAAATGTAAATTAGTACACAAAACTAAGAATCTTTAGACTTATCTTTGTAACTAATTAGGGTGGAAGTTATGAAAGAATGTAATTCACTAAATTATTTTTTAAATGAAACTTTTCTTTCTTTTTGAAACCAAATGTTAAAATATAGCCTTAAATGCTTGGTAGAAATATTCTAATGAGACAAATTTATACTTTTTTTTTTTCCTCAACGTGAAAACTAATCTCTTAATCCATTAAACTCTTGAACAGGTATTACAAAGGAAGAAAACTTCACCCCTTATCCTTAACATATATAGTATATTTAAAAAATATAAAATTGTATTGTACTAATGTGATGATTATTTAATGAAAAAAAAAAGATGGCTCTTTTTGCAATAAGTAGATAAATACTGAAAATCTAAACATACAATGTTTATAGTCTTGTGTGTGCAGTTACATTGTCTCTGGACAACCAAATTTTTTACTAAGATGAGTAAATGTTTGAACCACTGAAATTTAATAACAAAAATTTAAAATTGGCATGAATACTGCACTGTGAGCTGCAAAGTAGAGAAAAATCCTGTGGCTGGGAGAAATTTCATCAACCAAACAAGTAAAAGGCTCATCAGTTTTAGCATCTCTGCTCCCCGGAAAATTGCAAGCATCCTCACCAGCCTGTGGATGAATTCTTTCTGGTGAACCAGTGTGCATATTAACCTGCTATAACTATGTGTGTACATGTGTGTTCATGTACACATCCACACACATATACACACATAGTTGTTAAACACATATTTATTGAACATCTATTCAGTGTCATCAGTTTGCTAGGTGCTGATACGTATGTATATCTCAACCTGTGTCCATAGATCTAAATATATTCTCAAAGGACATCTGTTTGCTCAACATCTCTCAATAAGTCACAGTACTTGTTTGACTGAGGTTTGAGAGGCCCGGTACTCTCTCTGACTTTTTTCAGACAGACTCATCTGGAAGGTTCTCTTCCCAGAAGAAATTCAACTTTCCAACCCAAATATTCCAAAGCATTGCCCAGGCAGAGTTGGTTTGAAGTGGCCACGTGTCTTGGGTTATTTCCATAAGTGCTTCATTGGGAGGGAGACAGGGTTATACTCCCCAGCTTCCCAGAGGAAAGTGACATTTTTATAATTGCCAGGAATAGGTCAACACAATAGAACATGAAATAAGTTTTGTAAGTTGTGAAGCCTATCGTGGCTTTTTCATCAAGCCAGAAAAGAAATGCCGTGTTCTTTCACATCCAAGTAACTTACCCGCTTCCCTGTCCCAACCACCTGCTCTGACCCTGCTTGGATATTGATTAGAGTGTCTGGCGGTCGGGCCACGAGGGTGTGGCTGGCTTGTGGCAGACAGGAGGCCACTGGACGGAGCCTAACCTCTCCCAAACTCATGCCACTGGTTCCTGGAAGGACCAGAGGAGAAAGTGCAAAACTTCTCCCACTTGGAACGCACACCCCCCTTATGAACCAGTAGGCTGATGTCTGTCTTCCCTCCATAAAGAAACTAACATTTATTCTCTGACTCTAAGGGGGCCTTTGAAGGATTGCCCTAGTTGTCTGCCCTTCCATCTGGCCTTCCGCCCAGGCACTGAAGCTTCTTCCGTGGTCATCATACTTAATGACTTCTCCTGGGCACCCCTCCTAGGGATGTTTCTTTCACTCCTGTCTCCCGCGTCTTTCCTCAATGGAAACCCCACTCTCCCAGGGCCAGGACCCTATGAAGGGGGGTAAAGGATCTTCTATGGCCAGAGCCAGCCAGAACTTCAGCGAGAGAAGTATCTGATTCACATTCCCACAGAGGAATGGGGCTCTTCTGTCTGCCAGGAGGACTCTTGGGATTTACTTTTCAAAGCACAAATAGACCCAAGAAGAGCAGCTGGAGGGTTGGTTCTGTTGGCTACAGGGAAGGGCATACCCTGGTCTGCTGAGCCCACGGAGGCAGGCTGTGCCCTCCTCCCCCAAATGCCTTCGGAGCTGAGTTTGGGGCATTTACGTGAACAACCTGGAGGATTGCTTTTTGCTCTTAAAAACATTTCTAAGAGCCTTAAAAATTTTACTTCTCATCTTGTTCTTCTAAAACTTTCTCCAGGGCGGATATTTTCCCTATCTTAACCACTGATCCAGTTACCCAAACCCTTGGCCCTCTCTCTGTCTCTGCCAAGTTAGGTGCTGGGGTGGGGTTCGTGTTGCACCACCTAATCCAAGTCTGTCTGTGGTCTTTCCTCCTTTGTCGCAGTCTTCTCCCTTCAGCTGTCAAGCTTCCCAGAACCATAAAGAAGGCTTTCCAGGCCTCTGTCCTTACAGCTTTTATAGCTTTCTTTTGGGTGCCGGATCTCCTGGCGACCCTGCATTACCAGCCTTGAGTCAGGGGCATCTCGTACTTTTATTGGGGAGTGTGGAGGCCCATCTTCCGTAGCCGACACAGGAGAGAGCTGGAGAACTGGACTCTGGTCAGTAGGCATTCGTTTCCATCTTAGCAAGAGACCTAAAATTACTATCAGGACTTCTTCAGAACAGGTTCTGGAATCCCAGGTTTATGCTACTCTAAGTCAGGGGTTCTCAGCCTCGACACTGTTGACAAGTTGGGAGCAGTTCTTTGTTCTGTGGGACGATCCTGCGTAGCGTCCCCATGGGCTCCCCCATGCCCTCCCTGCTGGTGCCACAACCCAGACTATCTCCAGACATTACCACAGGTCCCATGGAGCCCAGTATCACCCCCAGTTGAGAACCACTGCCCTAGATCTTAGAGGTCACAAATACCATATTTGAGATTTTCTTGTTCCCTTCCGTTTTGCTCCAAGAAAGCTGCTGTCCTGGAGCCTTGTTTCAGGTTGTGAAGAGGCAGGTAGGAATATTCCTCAAATGACATTATGTCCCGGTCTCCTCCCCTTCGGAGCTTCTTTCACGGCAGAGTCTGTCTGGCTACAGAGGATTCCTTCATTCATCCCCGGGGATGTGGGGAAGAGCTGGTCACCATCATCCCCATAATCATGTTAAGGTGTATCTGTGATTTGATCTTTATTCCTTAGTTTACCAGCTTTAAAAGAAATCCCAGCTACATTCACGATTCTCATAAGCATCTGGGTCTCACGATCAAAGCTTTCATCATTTCGGTAAACTTACTCCGGTCTTCTGCTTTCTGCCCTACGCTCAGTGCTGTTTTTAGAATTTATGGAAGCCTTTGGAACACCGCATCTTTAAGGATGGAGGCGAGAGGGACCAGTTCTGGCAGCGGGCTGATAGATATTTCTTTGTTGAGCTAAAAGAGAGCACAAACTACCCTCCTTCATTTAGCAGATGAGGAAGTTGAGGCCCAGAGGGGAGGTGACTTGCCCAGAGTCACCCAGCTGGTCAGTGACACAACCGGGGTGAGGCTCTGGGACCTCGCCACTTAATCCTTGGCCTCTCCCAGTGCAAGTTGTTCCTCTTTGGTGCTCATGCTTCAAAGATCCCTACGAAGGTGTGCACAGGCTCAGTGCAGAAGAGAGGGGGGCACTAAGAACCCCCTCAGCCAGAGCACGGCATCGCCCCGATGCTGACGCTGCTTCCCCCACGGAGCCTCTGGTCTGGTTGGAGCTACGTGAGGCAGCCACAAGCAGATACGAAAGCTGATGAGCCTTTTCGCTTACCCTGAGGACAATGCACCTGCCACAGACTCCGAGTCTAATTTTTATCTGCTAGGCAACCCAGCCGCCCTGTCCCACACTCAGACCAGCCAAAAAGCAGCCCCCATTCCCAGCACTTGGTGTGAGAAGTCCCCAGATGACTTCAACCCAAGTCTTCTTTAGGTCTCAATTCTGTAGTGGCTTTAGCAGTCTGTTTTTGTACAACCATAAATTATTTAAATCGTCTGAGATGACAGTCAATCTTACAAACCAGGTACACATGATTTGTCTAAGTTTGTATATGCTCTGTCTGGTACCCTACACCTGTCCTCACGAAGGGTGGAACCGATTCTGTGTGTTGGCGTTCACACCTGTGACACTGAGAGCATATGTCTGCATTGCTTCTTTCTTTCTGTTGATGTTTCTGTGGCAAAGCCCTGCACCTGTCATTTCTGAAAAGCCTTAAATCTTTGAGACGTTGCGTGTAGGGTGTGCAGTGCAAAAGGCTGCCTCAGAACTGTGAGCCCTTTTGTAAGCTGGAAGCATTTCTCTTACTACTGTTACTTTTTTAGGGAGTTTTAAATTCAGAGCTGCCAAAGCGTTCCAGTAAGCAGTGCCTTAGTGATTACCTAGTCATACCTAGCCCTCTGCGTCCATTTACTAATTGGCCCCGTATTTGAAACCGCACAGGCAAAAATTGTTCTCATTTCTCTTTTGTAAGCCCATTTTTTTCCTCCGGTTCTATAGGACACTGACCACTTGGTCTAAAATCGGAAACTGAACACGAGTCGGTTCTTTGACCGCACTCTCAAATGTATATACCAAAACGGAAGGTTTTCCAACTTCGTAGTTTACTATGAAAAGCAAATTGTACTTTTAAAGTTGCCTTTTCAATTCATGACCAAATACTTAGCTATTTATGAATCTTCTGCGCTCTAGCATGGAAGTGCCTTTGGTTTGAGATTCCAGCTTAGAAAAGTGCTACCATATAACGATAATTTGTAGAGAGACCAAAAATATTCTGAGATCACCGTAATGCCTTTGGTTTACCAGGATGAGTAACCAGCCACAGGCCTCTGTCCACAAGGGCGCGACGCGGACCCTACCTGCCGCCACCATCTGGCGCTCAGCAGTAGCAGCGGCAGGAGGGACCCCAGGAACTGTTGTGTGTGTGTGTGTGTGTCCGCGACCCCGGGCGTCCTCTTGGCCCGTCACCCAGCCCTGCGTCCGCGTGAGGGGACTGCCACGCAAACGACAGACTTTCGGCCGGTGGACAGATTTGTCCCTCCCCTCGTGTTCGTGTTCAGTCTCTGTGGAGGCTTTCTTTCCCATTCAGACGACAGCGCGCACTTCTCTGGTCTACGCAGTGATACCACTCTGGAAGTTGGAAGCCTCGAACCGAGATGCGAGTGCAGAACAAAAATGAGTTAGGGTCATTACAGTTGAAGTGTTCTTCTTACGGCGGAAATGTTGACTCTGAGTGTTGTGTACGAATGTGCTATGAGAAACTTCCAAAGAGCACCATTCACAATTCGGCATTTTTAAAGAATGTTCCAGCCCTCAAAAGGGCAACCCTTTAGAGTCCGTGTTGGCTTTTATTAAAACCTTGTAGAGATGGGGAATACTGATAGAGGTAAGGAAGAGGCATGGAAAGGACCAGAAGGCAAAAACACCAGCCAAACAAAAGCCAGGAGAAAAAAAAAATGTTCTTTACCGATATAGACTTCACAATGACATTAGACATCTTTGAAAGTTAGCCTCTGAACTCTTAATGCGTATGTTCTTTCGTCTCTCCCTGGTGTCTTTAAGATTACCCTGTCTGGGCTCTGAAATTTCAGGAGTGATTTCTACCCACACCAAGTTGTGAGTATTTATAGAAATTTCTACAAGAAAAAAAAACACAAAAACAGTCAAATGATGAAAAGGAAAATGAGCTAACACGAGCGATAGTCAGTCGCTTGAGTTCAGCCCTCCCTGTCAGTACTGAACCACCCCTGGAAAGAAATTAATCAAATGCTTGTTTTCCTGCTTCTCTTTTCAGCTGTTACTGTGCTTTGTTTGGCAATAGTTTTCTCTCATAAACTCATTGCTTCTATTGTTAAGAATGAAGGTTTTGTGTTTAAAATTTACTGCATTTGCAAGGATAGTTTCGCTGAAGTCATGCACCATTAACTAAGATGAAATATTGGTATTTATTGTCCTACTTCCTAAGGCTGTAGCTTGTTTTATTCTTTGTGAATTTGCATTGAGTCAGTCGTATGCCACACTACATCATTTTAGTTTATTTGAAATGGCATTTATGTCCCCTCGTGTTCCTCATTAAATGGGGTCAGATTCTAGGAGATTCCACCTCTCTCAGGTAGACTCTTTTGTCTGCCTTCCATTATGAGATGGTTTTCCCTTCCCCTGTCTCTGAGAGAGGCTGACAGAATCTAGGCATAAATCAATTGGAAACCAGTCTCTTATTTTATTATTATTATTTTTTTTGGATCAGTCATTTTCTGTGATTAGTTTGTGTAAATTAGATATTAACTGCACTTCTTTAAAAAAAAATACATCTCCCTGTTACCTCCTTGAAAGATTCACTCTGTAGGCCTTTGTCAATAGGCTCTAGCCTGCAGATAAGGAAAGAGGAAAAAAAAAAGAAAGAAAAAAAAAAACAGTACGTGCCTGAAAAACAACAAAAAAATTTTGTAACATTTAAAAAAGAAACCCGAATAGCCTTTAATTCTTTAATATGCTTAAATTTTATGTAAATTGGTTTTGCCACATGTGTTTGTTCACGTTCTAAATGACTTAATGGGATTCTCACAGTCGGTGTCTTTGTGTCCCGTGTATACTATGGGCTTGTGACGTAAGCGCTTCATCTGGTCAGTGGTCGCTTTGATATTGTACTGCAGCTGGGCGGGGGCTCCGGAACCTGCCCCCGGGTGATAAGGTTCCTCTCGGTAGATTGGAGAGATGGGGGTGGGGGGCGAATTCTCACACACGTTTTCTTAAACTATTTGCAGAAACTTTCAAAAGGCATTTGGTTAAACCTCTTGGCAGTACAGTATTCTTGTATTTGTTAATGTCCGTGTTTAGGTACTGGTACCTTTTTGTTTAAAAATGTTCTAAGTGTTGGCTTTAAAGTGAATTTATCTTTAGTATGATAGTTATATGAAAATTATAGGGTTTGTGTGCAGAGAATTTTTTTATAAAGTGCTTTGTAAAAAAAAAAAAAATGTATTCTAGCTTTCGCGGTACATATGTGTGATAACTTTAATATCCATGACAGTTAAGTGCAATTATTTCATCACTCTAAAAATGCTATTTTTGTGTCAGTTCCTGCAGGTGTTTTCATGTCTTTGCAAAGTGACACATTTTGATGCCTTCTTGATAAAGTGGTAGACATTTTGTAGCTTTCTAGAAACTTTGTATTCATACGGTATCAATGAAAAATAAAGAAAATGAAAGTGTGGGTTACCTTTTTTATCTGCAAAAGTGTATGTTGTTGAAAATAACACGTGATTATGTGTTGTGGGTGAACTGTGGGGTTCATGATTCAGGTGTGTGCAGCACAGCCCTGCATAAGAAAGCCTTTGATTCACTAGGTGCTTACTGTGTGCTGGGCACTGGCCAAGTGTGTTGATACAATGTGGATATATTGTTTCCTTTGATTCTTACAATAGTCCCAAAGACGGTGATATTACTACCCCCAACCGAGGCTCAGAAAAGATGGATCATCCAGTGATGACTGGTGAGTGGTGGAGCCTTAAATAGGTCACCTCTTGTCCACACCTTGTTGAGGCCCTAATGTATATCAGGCGCACTGTTAGAGTCACTGTTTTCTCTAAACCACATTCTCTTAATACAGGAGTCATTTCCTATTTTCCAATAAAGAAATTGAGGCCCAGAGAAGTTAAGCCTTTGTTCAAATCATGAAAGCTAGTGACAAGAATTGAGAGGTGGTAATACCGCCTGCCTTGCAGTTCTAGTTCTACCACTGGTTGTATGGCACCTCTTGCCCTACCCCTCCTCCTCGAAAACAAGGTGCTTTAATACATTAAAAACATGTTTTGTTCGTGCCTGTGGTTCCAGTCAACTTAAGTTCAGCAAAGATGGGGAGACACACTAGGTAAATATCACTGAGTAAAGGGATTTAAAGAGCAAAGGGGAGGATAAATAAAGGCCTCTAGTCAGTTGAGGGATCAAGCAACTTTGCTGTGAACCCCTGGTCATTTCTTTCTGCCTTACTGTTGCAGTAGATGAATAAACATAGCTATTGCTTATGGAAAGCCAAATTAGCTGCTGTTGTTAGGCCGTCAGTGAGCAATGATAAAATTCCAATTTAAAAAAACCCAAACAATGTTGTGTAAGCCTGTGAAGCCTTAGGGGTTTTTAAACTGCCTTTAAAGACACCTTTGTTCTGTTTAATATCCTATATGTCAGATATATCTAGGTTGTTTTAACTAGCAAATTGGCTACCAGCAACCTGACTGCATTTTTTTTTTTTTAAGTAAACATTCTCCTATTTGCTTTGGCTCACAAGAAGCTCAGACTGATAAGTTGTGTTCTGTGCTGATAAGGATGTAAAGGCAACTAGAATGTAAAGGCATAGAAAGGTTGAAAACAAAGGATGAAAAATATACTGTAAAACGAAAGCTGATGTAGCTATATTATTTTCACACTAGTATAGCTCAAGGAAAAAAATATTACTAGAGCTCATGGGGATTATTTCAAGATGATACAAGTTTTAATTACCCAGGAAAAATAAGGTCTCTAAACTTATATGCACCTAATAACACAGGTTCAAATTTATAAAGCAAAATTTGAAATTCCATAGTAGGAAGTTTTTGAAGAACTAAACTCATTGGGTTATTTATAGGTAGAGCAGACCAAACACACAGACAAAAACACAGGTCAGACATAGGGGATTTGAACCCCATAATTTAATGTGCTGTTCTAGTTTATAAAATACAAAGCAATGAACACAACAATTGGGAGCCTATACATTATTTCCAAGCACACACTGAATTTTTATGAAAATTGACTGCATTCAAGGCCAGGGGTTTTGAAATTATAGTCTGTGGGCCAAATCTGGCCTGCTATTTGTTTTTGCAAATAAAGTTTTATTAAAACACACTACTAGCCCTTACTATTTACTTGCTGTCATGGCTGCTTTCATGCTACAATGGCGTAGTTCATTAGTTGTAACAGACCCTGTAGCTTACAAAGCCCAAAATAATGGATTGCTGCGTGGCTCTTTACAGTAAAAATGTTTTGCCAACTCCCATTCTAAGCCAAAAAATCCAGGTCCTAAAAAATGTCTGTTTCCCATCCCCCAGTACGTAGGTACTCTAGCAAATGGCTATCTATTTCTTTGATGTCCTTGATGTGGCATCATAGCATTCTTCCTCAAGTATCCCAGCCTTCCCTTTGATCAATAGGTTATGGGTCTAAGAACAGGCTTAGATCTGGAAAGGATGAGTGATGGATAGTGATTTTTCATTGCAGCAGCTGACATCTTCTCACCTAATCTTGCTATTTTATGACTAATAGAGTCAAGCAACACCATTGATGGCTGCCCACCTGTCTTGTCCCTATCTTGCCATGGTCCACTAGCCATCTTCACAGATCCCTGTGGGGCCAGGCTCCTTGGTTTCCATCCCTTGCTGCCTATTATGGTAACTACTGCTTTGCCTCTGACAGCTAATTCCTGCCACTTGGTCTCTGCTGTTCCAGAATCTTCCCTCCATTCACACAAGGGAACCCAATTCTGTATCAGTATCTCCTGCCATCAACCTTGGCTTGCAGGCTGCCCTGAGTTTCTTAGCAATGCATATGCCCTATTCTTTAGTGCATTTGCTATTTTAGTGAAGGGACTATTTTCTTGGCCTTCTGGGGCACATAGACAGGGGGTAGGTGTTCTGGTCTTAAATTACAACCACCACCCTACGCCACCTCCCCTGCCAAGTGTTGCCTCTGAACTTTCTGAGCTCTGCCTCAGTACCAAGGCAGTTCCAGCACCTCTGCATTTCCTCTACATCATTGTTTCCTCCAACCCTCAAGGAACTGTCCAGTTGACCCAGGATCATCTCTAGATGTTCTTGCCAGGATATTAAATTCTGAACTGTAGAAGAGTGTGACCTATACCAATAAACCCCTTAATCTAGCCCAGTCTCATGTCCTCAAGATTCATTTCCAGGCATGTTCTGCCAGTTCTACAGGGAAGAAGAGTACAGACAAGCCAAATCCTGCATTTTTGGTGATGAACCATTTCCTCCTGAATTACAGACCAAATTTCCCCCACTAGACGTGCTGAGGCTTTACCCTTGTAATTTGATGAGGTGGGGCAGATCTTGGGGAGGCAACTACTTCATCTTTTGAGGCATCCATTTCAGTTGAGGCCTTGACATGGTCTCCCCATGCAGGGTAGGCTGCTATCCCAGCAAGGGATAGTGGACTTAGTAGCCCAGAGGGTTCAGAGGATTCAGAGGAATTGGGTTCAAAGCCCTCAGTGTTTCCACCCTGATGTCCCCACCACACGTTTCAGGGTGCAGCTACTTACTTTTAGGGCCTGACTGTAACATAGATTTGTGAAGGCTGTGAATTCAGCTTTATTTGTAATTTCTGGCTTGGTTTTGGCACAGGCTGTCATCCAGCTGCATGAACTAAGGATTTTTTCAAATGCTGCCAGGAAGATCGTTTACACCGTGCCCTGAGTTGAGCATGACATTTTCTTCTTTCTGTGCACTGATTGCACTTAGCAATAACCAGCCTATTCCACAATTATAAATTAATACCACCCTCACATGCTAGAGCTTGCATAAGTTAGTGCATCCCCTTCCTGGTAGATCCAGTGCCAATTTATCAAAGGTGGCTGTCTTAGGTATTGTGGTGCTACAACATCCCAGGGGACCAAATGTCTTAATTAAGTTGTCCCAGAAGTGGACCTTGAAAAAAAGACTCGAGTGCAGTTCATTTGGGAGCCTTAAGAGACATTAAGATTAAATCTTAAAAGATTTTGGGGCACCTGGGTGGCTCAGTCGTTAAGCGTCTGCCTTTGGCTCAGGGTCCTGGGATCCAGCCCCAAGTCAGGCTCCCTGCTCAGCGGGAAGCCTGCTTCTCCCTCTCCCACTCCCCCTGCTTGTGTTCCCTCTCTTGCTCTCTCCCTCTTTCTCTCTGTCAAATAAATAGAATATATTTTTAAAAAATCTTAAAGATTTCACTTCATAAGATACAATGTTAAATTTGCTATGAAGATGAAATATTGTACTTTGGTATGTGCTTAATAAAACTGTCTTGACATAAAACAAAAATGAGAGAACCACAAAGAAAAAAAAAAAAATCCAGTCATCTTTCAGTAATTGATGGAACAAGCAGTCAAATATCAGGAGATACATAGGAAAATTGAAGTCTTTATTATGTGGGTGTGCACGTGCACTCTATTATCACAACATTGTCATTCATAATTTTTCAGTCACATATAGAACAATATGAAAACCATGTTCTTGGCAAATTAAGCAAGTGTCAATATATTTCAAAGGATTGCTGCAGTACCCAATATTCTATGGCACAGGCAATTAAGTTAGAAATCAATATAAAAAGGATCTTTAGAAAAGCCCCATGTTTTTGGCAATTATTAAACATTTCTAATTAACACATGAGAAAATTAAGTCATGGAAATTAATAAATATTTGAAACTATATGCTAAAGAAGTACCACCTACTAAAATATGTAGAATGCAGTTAAAGCAGTATGTAGGGGGCAGTAGACCAACATGATTAGAATCATGCATATTAGAAAAGAAGAAAGATGGGGCGCCTGGGTGGCTCAGTTGGTTAAGTGTCTGCCTTCGGTTCAGGTCATGATCCCAGGATCCTGAGATCAAGCCCCATGTCAGGCTCTCTGCTCAGTGGGGAGCCTGCTTCTCCCTCTCTCCCTGCTTGTGCTCTCTCTCTCTGTCAAATAAAATATTAAAAAAAAGAAAAGAAAAGAAGAAAGACTAAAAACTAATGAGCTAGGCATTCAATTCATGAAGTTAAAAGAAAAAAATAAAAAATGGAACTAATAAGGGCAAACTGATGAAATAGAAAACAAACATGATAGAGATCAACAAAGTCAAAAGTTGGTTCTTCAAAAATACTAATAAAATCTACAAACCTTAGCGTGATCGATAAGGGAAGGAGAGGGAGAGAGAGAACCAAACAAACAAAAAACAGTAATAACAATGAAAATAGGAACATCACTACAGATCTTAAAGATATTAATAAAAGTGCAATGAAATAGATAAAAATATAAATTTTATGCCAATAAATGTGTAAGGATAGATAAAAGTGATTTCTTAGAAAACTAGAACTTATGAAAATTGCCTCACAAAGAAGTAGAAATTCTGAAGAGAGTAGTCTTAACAGCCCTTAAAGAAAATCAAACACTAATTCCCAAAAGAAAAACCCAGACCTAAATAGTTTACCAGGGAGCATT